ATCTGACAATATTAAAACAGCCAACCAGTGTTCCCCAGGTCGTGTATGAGGATGTGTATTCAAAATAAAACAGGACGGAGGTGTGTGTTTTAACACCCGAGGTAGTTGATCGCAGGCGAATACGCCTCTGAAACCGAGGGTGCATCGCATGGCTTTAGCGATCTGTCTGGTGTCCATTTTTTTTAAAAATAGTCCATAAGCACTTCACGTTTGTGATTAATTTCTAACACGTTGTCAAAAACCGCAAACACGATGATGTTTATGGTGTTGGGCAAAGGCGCTCGAAACCGGAGGTCCAGTCTAACGTGCCCCGACTGTATTAAGGAAACGTGTTCGCCCGAGCTTTCGTCGGGGGTCAAGTTGAACGCGAATAAACAGTAGCCCTGAGAAAAATCTTCACGAGAGATGGCCAAAGGCTGGTCCCTCAACCCTCTGTCCGTAGCCTCGACCAGGCTGAAGTATTCTCGCAGGCAGCGCTGTCTGGGAAAAAGGGGTCGAAAAGGCGTGGACGGGTAGGACACACCGTCCACGCTGAGATTTAAAGATTCCACGTCGTAATGATGAAAATTAAAAGGATTTCGCGCGTATGATCCGCTGAAAGCTTCGTTATGAACAAAACCTATAGCGATGAATTTTGGCACTTGGCCCAAAAATAGATTATCCTGGTTTGACACGCGACCCCCCGCCGGCACGCTTAACACTTTCACGTTAACTCGTTCTAATGGGTACCTCGCGTTAGACTGAAGCAAAGCTGACGCGTGCCCCAGTTTCACACTGGGTGACACGTGTATTCTTTTCACGTACAAAAGGGCCGTTAAAATGTGAAGTTTATAGCCCGGGTTCGGATCCGACGACATTAAAACAAACTCGTTTTTATTACGAACTAACTTGATTCTCACGTCGACGGAATTTAAAAGAAGCTTTTCCTGAAATGCAAAGTCGTTATGCAAATGTCCCATTAATTCGAACGTTCGGCTCCTTTCGCAATAAGCGCTTCGCCACGTTAACCCCTCATTGTCTCTGTTCGGGTCAGCTTCGTCCATGCGCCCCGCCGTGTCTTTGCGAAACAGCCCCGCTGCGAATTGCGAATTCAGAGTAGGTTCGGAATAGTTAAGCAAACACTCCAGAACGGCCCTGTAGGTGTACGTGGAACCGCTTTGAGAAATGAGCTTATCGCCGAGGGACAGGTCGACTTGGCTAAAAAGAGTGGCCGCGGGGTAATTGATCAAACCTACGGTCGCACCGGCCGCCAGATCGGTTCCGTCCGCGTTGGTAACTTTGCACGTGAGGTACAAAAGCGAACGGTTCAGATCGACGTAGGTGTCCCCCGACCCCGCCATAAAAAATTCCAGGGGGCCGTTTTCGGTAATGGCCGTGATGGGAGGCGTTTCTACGTATTTGTAGGATTCTATACTGTGTTGCGTCATAGGGATCGTAAATAGGTCCAGCTCGGACTTCATGCATTCCGCCGAGGCGCTGTGTATGAGAGACATCTTTTAAAATATGTCGGGACCCGCACCGGTTTTCCGCTCGCTCTTTTTTTTCTTCCTATTCCTTAAACGAGAGGCGCGGACGAGCGCACCCGCCAGCTTCCTGTTCAGACTGAGACCTTTTGAAAAAACACTTTTATTTTTAAAAGGTACGGAACCGCGACGCCCCGGTGGGCGCATGCGTCGATTCGCGCGGCTCAAAACCACCAGGCCTTCCCCCTCCTGCCGCCTTTCCGACGCGTTTCCCAGTAATTTCCCCGCCGCTGCGGAAACCACGTCTTTCGCGATATTTTTAGCAGCGGTCTTGAGGTGTGGTCTGACTAAGTTGAAGCCCGATTTTAGCAGAGGCACCGCCAGTCTAAACAAACCCCGAAAAACGTTGCCGATCCCTCTTCCGTACTGCACGGGCGCTCCGCTGAAACCTTCTAAACCGGACCCCGCCTGTCGCGTATAATAAAGGACGTAGGGGCTAGGGTCGGCGTGATAAGCAGACATTTTTTATCGGATCGGTCTAAAATGTAGCTTCACGATCACTTTTCCAAATTCGAATTTGACGTTTCGGTTTTGATCCGTCTTTCAACTCTATTAAAATTTCATCAAACACGTGTTTGCTGACCGGGTTGTAGTGCACCTTGTCAAAGTTTAGCGTGACGAAATCCAGATGCGCTTTGGGTATTTGAACGGTTCGCAAAAGAGGTGCTAAGGTATCGGCCACGATCTGGTGTGAAGAAATATCTGAATAAAGAAACAAATAAAACGTTCCGCCTTTAATATGGGCAGGGAATTTAGTTTCGGTCGGGTCAGTCCACTTCTGTTCCTCGAAGCCCAGAATGTGCGCCAACTGTCCGTGCGTTCGAATCCGAATAGGCCATCTGTTCAGCGAGGTCAGTCGTATAATCTCCTCCGGTGTGACCCCTAATTTTACCCGTCTCGTGACCTTATCCAAATATAATTCGACGTGGGTTTTGGTGGTTCTAAAATATTTGTTCATTTCGGTCAAAATGTCAGCGATGTAAGTATAATAACCGCATTTTACTTTAAAAGCCACCTGTTTACTGAGATCCGGCCCTTCGCACACCCAAAAGTCCGTTTCCTGTCGCCCCCCGTCCGCCAGCGTGTACCAACTCTGGGGAAATGAAATTTCTGCTAAGCCGACCTCCCAACCGCCCCTGAGGTGAACGGTTTTGGCTAACTTCACCCTGTAGCTGGATATATCGTTTTGAGGGTATAATTTGTCGCTAGCGTTACTCGGCAGAGTGATGAAAAAATCTCTGGTTTCTTCCATGGTGGGGTGGTCCGCGCTTCCGAATAGGGGCTCGCGCCGCTCTCTCACGGGGTTTTTATCGAGCGTCCTGGATAGAATTTTCGTTTACCCAGGAGTCAAATTTTTTATCCCAACCTTTCCATCTCACCTTAACCAGAACCTCGGATTTAGTTTTTTTCCTAGCCAGTATTTTTTCTACACGATAGACTTTATTTTCAGGTACAATAATTTTCTGCATTTCTTCTTCATAAAAAGAACCTTCTATTATTTCATTATCGAGGTCTTTTAGTTTATACATTGGCGGGTCTCGTTTAATAATTTTATCCACAAAAAAATATTCATCCGTGAAAGACTGTTCGTAACCTTTCGCAAAGACCCTGCGCTCTTTCGAAATCCGAACCGCGTCACCTATTTTAAACTTGGGTCGGGGTAATTCCCCTCTCATTCTTTTCCCGTACAGATGATGAAACACCTGTATCTGATTGCACTCGTTCACTTCTTCGGGACGCATTTGAATAGATCTATGAAAAGCGCTATTGTAAGCGCTCACTAGTTCCTGAAGCACATCTAAATATCTCAAGGTGTTAAAACCTGTAAAATATCTGAACATCCGCGTTTTGAGGGTTTTGTTAAATCGCTCCACCACAGAGGCTTTCAATTCGCTAGCCGTAGTAAAATGTCTTATTTTATATTTGTTTAATAGTTTCATAAATGATTGATTACAAAATTCTCGCCCCTTGTCACTTTGAAGGGTGACGGGTTTTCTACCTCGTAAAAGTATTTGTTCAAAGGCCTTCGTTACGCTCTTGGCGTTCTTATTTTCCAACGCCTCCACCCACGCGTATTTTGAAAACACATCTATGCAGGTTAAAATAAACTTTTTCCCATCGTTGTGTTCCGATAGAGAGGACAAATCTGCCAAGTCTAACTGCCATTGTGAATCTTTTTCGCACGCCAGTACGAAACTCCTTTTAAAGTTTATTCTTCGGGGTTTGTGTAGCGTGTAAGTGTCTGAACTTTGTAAAAACCTATCAATTTCATCTTTATTTTTATTAGCCAACCCCACCTCCCTTACGCTTTTGATAAAGGGCTCCCTACCACACAGACCGCCTTCCGACCCGGGTTTATGATACAACTCTTGCAGCGCCGTCTGAGACATGTCCAAATGGTCGAGGTGTGAAACACGTTAGGGTTTTTATATTTTCTTCTGGGTAAAACACGGTCTAAAATAAAATGTGGAGAAAACAAACTGATGACAGAAAACGACTTCAAAAGGTTTTTATGGTTTTTTATTTTTTTTGTTCAAAGGTTTTTATGTGTTTTTTTATTTTTTTTGTTAAAAACGGTTTATTTCTTTTATATTTTTTTTGGTTGTTAGTATCTAATCTACTGACAAACCGTTAGTTTGAGATATAGGTAAATTAGTTTCAAACTAAATGTGATGAACACTGAAGTATAAAATATGAAACTAAAAATGATTACACTATTAAATATATGAAAATGAAAAATGATTACACTTAAAATACGAAAAGAAAAATGGTTACATGATTTAAAATATTAAAAAATATTAAAATGATTACACTTAAAATATGAAAAGAAAATGGTTACATGATTTAAAATATTAAAAAAATATTTAAATGATTACAATTAAAATATGAAAAGAAAAATGGTTACATGATTTAAAATATTAAAAAATTAAAATGATTACACTGTTAAAAATATTAAAATGATTACACTATTAAATATATGAAAATGAAAAAGGATTACACTTAAAATATGAAAAGAAAAATGGTTACATGCTTTAAAATATTAAAAAATATTAAAATGATTACACTTAAAATATGAAAAGAAAATGGTTACATGATTTAAAATATTAAAAAAATATTAAAATGATTACAATTAAAATATGAAAATAAAAATGGTTACATGATTTAAAATATTAAAAAATTAAAATGATTACACTGTTAAAAATATTAAAATGATTACACTATTAAATATATGAAAATGAAAAATGATTACACTATTAAATATATGAAAATGAAAAATGGTTACATGATTTAAAATATTAAAATGATTACACTATTAAATATATGAAAATGAAAAATGGTTACATGATTTAAAAATATTAAAAAATTAAAATGATTACACTGTTAAAAATATTAAAATGATTACACTATTAAATATATGAAAATGAAAAATGATTACACTATTAAATATATGAAAATGGTTACATGATTTAAAATGATTACATGATTAAAATATTAAATGAAAATGATTACATGGTTTAAAATATTAAAATGAAAAGACTTTACAGTTTGTCTAATAAACATGCACAAAAGGGGTTCAAAAAATATGTAAACTACTAGCAGCGATCAAAAGATGTCATAAAGGTGCTATAAACAATTACACAAACTCAAACGACTAAAATATTAAACGAAAAACATGTGGTGTTTTTTAATAAAACAATAAAGTTTTTTCTAATAATAATAATGTTTATGGTTTGTCTAATAAAAAAATTATATACAATGTATAAACTTACTAGCAGCAAAAAAACATCGGTGTCATAAATGTCTTATGTACAAATACACAATCTCTCTCTCTCTCTCTCGCGAATCACTACACCGATCTGTCATCCTCAGACCCCATCAGAATTTTACACACGTCGGCGGCCGTTGATTCCGCAGCGCTGTTCAGAGGTTCATCCGGCCGCATGTAAAACCGGCTCAGAATTTCGGACGGATCTCTGCTCAGGTACTCGGACAGCGGGTTATATTCACTCAGTTTTTCCTGCGTCAGCGTGTAAATTCTACGCAAAATGTTTATTACAAAACCATCATGAGGTTCTTTTAATTCAAAGTGTTGCTTTAGAGACTCTTTTATTTCCAATTCACAAGCGGGAATGAGATTCAGCCACTTCTGCTTTAACTCGTTGTCCAGAAATCTTACGGGGACGCCTTCCACGCAACTGTGCTGTTTCTGTGATGGGTGTTCAATTTGACACCCAGCGCAATCTCTCGTAACCCATTGACGAACAGCCAGGATGATCGCTCTTGCCCAGATAAATTCCACAATTTTCGTGGCTCGGTCCTTCAGACTGAGGTCCGAAGGCTTCTCGCTCTGACTTTCCGAGCTGGCGCCGGCGTCAAGAGGTTCCTCGCATTGACCTTTTGACCCCGTTCCTGAGAAAGCGCTCGCGTTCTCTCTCTCACGCTGCTCGATGTCAGCCGGCGAAGAAGGTCGGCTTTGTAAGCCGTCCTCGTCCACCACGATAAATTCATCGCTGTCCAGATCGGTCACGCCGGAGACTTCCTCTTCCTCTTCTTCTACCTCGCTGGCGCTGGTCGAATCTGAAATGTCATTTTCACCGCTTTTTTTACGTTCCACGAGGTCTAGATCAGAACTCTCTTCTTCATCGCGCTCTGGCTGGTGAGTGGGGGAACACCCCCAATCTCCCCCGCTGGGCATGTCCTCGCACATGCGCATCGCCGTTTTGTCATCTTGGTATTTAGACATCAGACTCGTCGGGCGTGGAATATGACAGCTGTCGCAACCACATATTACGCTGGCTGGTGATAGAGAGAGAAAATCGTTAAAAGGTTTAACGGGCTCGTACATGCTTACTCTTCGGCCACACGCTGCAACTTGAAACGGTATAACTCTTTTCACGGTTTATATTCACAAACTACGGTACCTCAAACGGTCAAAATGAATTTTTAAGAAAAAAAGCGTTTTTCTTACCTGTCAGAACATGTTTGACCGCGTGATAAATATCCAGTAGTTCGCTCTCCCGCAAAGTTATTTCAATCAGCTGGACGTGCTCTTCTTTTTCAGTAGGGGCAAAATAAAAAATCCACTGGTCGTCATCGCTGGAGCACACGTTTTCGTGCCTTATCACAGGTGACGTGCACACTTCCAGTCGAACTCTGTAGGTAAACTCAGGGGTCTTGAGCCCTGTGATGGTCAGGGTGATTTGACGCAAATAATGCGCGGATCTGACCTTCAGTGTGATTGTGGCAGACCTGGACAGTTCGGTCTTGTGTTTTGTGTCGCGAACCATGCATGACCTGTTTCTGGCCTGTAAGATCATAGCATGCAATTCCCCCACTTCATTCGTTTTCGGGACGGTCTGGTTTAACAGGTACAACTCCTTTTCAGAAATAGAGACTTCAGTCGACTTGTCACTGTGAAACAGTCTGCTCTGACGGAAAACGATGTAGCGATTGTTCAGCCGGGTTTCTTTCGGCAAAATTGTCAAATACGTCATCGAAAGACATCTCCTCTTTATGCTCGGTTTAAACAGACTGTCGTCCGCTCTGAATCTGTCGATTTCCTGCTTTTTCTTCTGCGATGGTGTAACATCGTTTTCTTCCCGAATCGAACGGGGCCAGCAGTGTTTAGGTATGTCATTGCGAACGAAGGCCTTCCTCGCGCTCAAAATTTGACTGGTCCTCAGGGGTTGCTCCTTCAGTTTCAGTCGTTTTAGGCTGTTTGGCCACACGAAATAAGGTATTCCACGCTTTTGTAAGTTGTCCCGAATGAATGTGCGATAGCGCCATTTGCTCAAGGAATTCAAGATCGGAGATCCGGCTTGAGCCTTAGACGATCTGTCTGGAGAATCCATGACGATGGTTTTGCAGAAAAGTCACTCTCCGCACCAATCTGTCTCTTTTACGGCCAGTTTTTATAGTATTGTGAGGAGAAAAACAACACGACACCTGTTCAATTATTAGTCACGCTTAGCAGAACGGGGGCCCCCCACTTGCTGCTGTCACTCAAAAACACAACAACAACAACTACGTCATACCATTACATCATGGGAATCTTTTTTTCCAAAACACATCTTTTTTTCCAAAACACATCCTGGGAATCTTTTGAAAATTATTCCCACGCATCATACCGGGCAAACCTCGGGTAGTTATCAAAAAGCATTCACACACACACACACACACACACCATACCCCGACCCAACCACCCCACCCCACCCCAACCCACCCCACCCCACCGACGGTAAGTCCTCGCATCTTTTTTTTTAATTATTTTTCATCCTTACTCTTATTTTTTCACACCTCTTTAAACTTTTACATCATTTTTTTCATTAACACTTCTCAAGAGGGGAAAATTTTGCTCACGCTTGCCACCCCTCCCAACACGCACCCTGGGGAAAATTCAACATTTTATCACCGGAAAAAAAAAAAATTCTTTACAACCTACAATAGTTGTTCACAGTTTTTACACACATCACCTCCTGGGAAAATTAGTTGCAATTTTGACATGTGACGTCATATAACTGATGTTTACATTTTACACACACCAACCCCTGGGAAATTTTTTTACATATTTCACATGTGATGTCATACCACTGATGTTTACATTTTTATACACATCAACCCCCTGGGAAAATACTTTACATATTTCACATGTGACGTCACGCATAACTCATAAATCATTTTGACATTTACCGGGGTTAATAACTACTTATAGCCGCAAGCGGCAATGAGCGGGTCCAAGCCCGCATAAGCCCAAGAAGCTCTCATGCACTTTGAGCCAAAAGGCCTAATAAGGCCTAATGCAGTTTGGGACATTGAGGCAGAGAGGCTGAAAAAAGGTCTGAGTTCCTCAACAGGCCTTCATTTGTCATGAACTAGGAGCAGGGGGCTTTAAACCTAATATATGTTTATATTTCAATTCACTGATCTGCAAAGATTTGAACACATATTTGAGTAATGGTAAAAATTTCTGTCTTTGTTGCTTGGCAAAGTATTTTGTTTCTCCATGTTAAAGACTTTGATAAGCAGGACATAAACAGACCCAATGGACCCATAAGGGCCCTTCAAGCATAAAGGACCTGAGTGAAAGTGGGTCAAATTGGTCCAAAGGTCTTCAAATGTTATGAAAAGTGATCAGGGACCTTTGTCAAAGATGTTCACCGAGTTTTGTTCAGATTGACCTTTTGACCTTGGTATTATAAGCTGTAGTCTTTAAATGAATAATTCAAAATACCAGAGAAGGAGTCCAATTTATGACATAACTTGTAATTACAAAGTGATTCAGATCAGTGAACTGAATCAAAAGACAACTGTTATTTATTTGTAGACTTTGTAGTATTGTTGTAACAACATTTTTAAAGATTTTAGGTGTTTTTGAGTGCTAAAGCTCCCCCTATTGGCCAATCAGGATCAAATTTTGCAAGCCACATCAGAGTCTCAATTTATAAAGATATTTACAATTTTGAGATGATCGGACCAATGACTGATGAGCTATAGCAATTTAAGCTAGCAATGCCATGGCCGCAATGATTTAGTGATGGAGGGAGACCACAATGAGCAAAAAATGGGAAATGTGCTGGATATTTATTTACCTAGAGAGGCTACAGAGTATTTCTAGACCAGTTTTGCGAAGGCAGCTTCAAATTCCACGGACTAGTTCGAAGAGTGCTAATTTCAAACATTTGACGATTGAAAAAAAAAAGGAATGCACATTTTTAAGAGACTTGTAATGACAAAAGTGTTTGGAAGACTGCACTGCATGAGGGCATCTAAGTTATTTGACCAAAAATGACAATCTGTACAAGATATACTTGATTTTCAGTTATAGCGCCCCCTAGTGGCCAAATATTTTGAAACTTAGCAGGTTGTTAGAAGGTGGTGAGATAGAGATAGCTGTCAAGTATCATGAGGATTGGCCAAGGCGGCCATAAATTTCAATATATCAAAGTGTCCTTAAAGAGTCACTTAAAGTCTTACTAGTAGATGATACCTGCAAAGTTTCAACTTGATCGGATGTACAGATGCTGAGAAACAGCTATTAAGGCACGTTAAGCATTTACAGCGCCCCCTAATAACCAATGTGCACAAAAATGGATAGGCTACCTCAGAGTCTCTTTAGGAACAAGCCTGTCAAGTTTCAAATTTTTTGGGTGAAGGATTTTTGAGTTACAGATTTTTCAATTAAATAAGAATTATTTTGATTTTTCCAGAAGGATTAATTTGCATATGGCAGCCATTTTGAGTAAAGAATTAAAAATGTGCTGGATAATTATTGAGGTTCAGGCTCTTCTGAATTTTTTGACACCAAAAACATGAGGATTGGATGAAAACTGTAGGACTAGTTCGCAAAAGTAGGTTTCGCATATTATGCAAATTAGCTCAAAATCTAAGTGGGCGGAGCTTAATGGTCCAAATTACAAAGTTGTTTTGTTGGACCCAAGGAATCAGGAAAAAAATACTTCATGTCTGTCAAAATCTGAGGAAGGAATTATGGAGCCAAACGCGTTGTGTTGCGCAATAGTGCCACCTTTAGGCCGATTGGGCTCATTTCGCGAACCTGAGTAGCGGGAGGGACTACTACCTATTGACCAAGTTTCATGTCTCTAGGACTTACGGTTTGGTCTGGGCGATTCGTTTTATCGGAGAAAAAGAATAATAAGAAGAAATATAGCCGCGAGCGGCAATGAGCGGGTTCAAGCACGCAACAGCAGTACGGGCCCTTCTGCAGGTTAGCCCATTAGGCCTAAAAAGGCCTCAAGCTTCTGGTTTAGGCCATTAGGCCTAAAAAGGCCTCAAGCTTTTGGTTTCGCCCATTAGGCCTAAAAAGGCCTCAAGCCTTTTATTATATTAGGCCTAGAAAGGCCTCAAGCCTTTGTATAGTAAGTCTTTGTATAGTGAAATCTTTGAATGAATAAGCCAAAATAAAAGACAAGCAGTGCAATTTTTGACATAACATGTAATTAGAAAGTTGTTCATCTTAGTGGACTGAGTCACATGGCACCATTTGTTTATATGTGGGCCTTGTAATAACATTGTAATAGCATTTTTATTGATTTTTCAGTGTTTTTGAGTGCTGAAGCACCCCCAAAGGCCAATCTGGACCAAACTTGGCATACTCCATTAGAATCTCAATTTGTATAAATACTCAAAGTTTGAACATGATCTGACCAATGACTGTTGAGTTATAGGTAATCGAGCTAACAATGCCACATATGCAGGAATTTAGTGATTAATCCACATGACCCTGAGTAGAAAAGTCAAAATGTTTTTGATAATTATTTACATAGAGATGCCGCAGAATTGTTCTAGACAAACTTTGACAAAATTGGATCAAAATCCAGAGACTAGTTCGAAAAGTAGGGTTTTGAAACATTTATCTATTACAAAAAAAGATACAGATTTTTAACGAACATGTATTGGCAAAATTGTTTGTCACATGGTAGTACAATAGGCTGTAGGCGAAAATTGTAATAATATTGTAATAACATGTAATAATATGAAATTTTTTGAAATAGCGCCCCCCAGTGGTCAAATCTTTTGAAACTCGACTGGTTGTTAGAAAGTGGCTACATATAGACACCAGTCAAGTTTCGTCATGATTGGTCAATGGTAAGCCTGTCAAATGGCCTGCTGAATGCTTATTGGCCGATGGCGACCACAAATTTTAATGTATCCAAATGTCCTTATAGTTCTACTTGTAATCTGGCCCAATGATGCTGCGTGCAAAGTTTGAGCTGGATAGGTTGTACGGCTGCAGAGAAAATGCCCTGTTTTTGTTGCTCCGCCCCCTAATTACTTATGCGCACAAACATCGAGTGGCTACCTCAGAATGGGCTAGTGACGTGGCCTGTGAAGTTTGAAATTTTTTGACTGAAGGATTCTTGAGTTACAGATTTTTCAATTAATTCTGAATTATTTTGAATTTATCCAGAAGGGTTCATTTGCATATGGCAAAAGTAGGTTTCGCATATTTCGCAGTATTGCGAAAAATCTAAGTGGGCGGAGCTAAACAATCAAAATAGCCAAAAGGTTTATTTGGACCCATAGAACCAGGAAAAAAATATGCCTTGTCTGGCAAAAATCTGGTTTAGGAGATATAGACCCAAATGCGTTGGCCTGCGCTGTAGCGCCCCCTTGTGGCCAACTGGGCTAATTCCTTGTGCCTGAGTAGCGGGAGGGACTACTACCTATTGACCAAGTTTGGTGTCTCTAGGACTGACGGTTTGGGCTGTGCGTTCCGTTTCAGGGCAGAAAAATAATAATAATAAATATAGCCGCGAGCGGCAATGAGCGGGTTCAAGCACACAACAACAGTACGGGCCCTCCTGCAGGTTTAGCCCATTAGGCCTAAAAAGGCCTCAAGCTTTTGGTTTCGCCCATTAGGCCTAAAAAGGCCTCAAGTCTTCTATTATATTATTTAATTTTTGATTTAATTTTTAGCGCCCCCCAGTGGTCAAATCTTTTGAAACTCGACTGGTTGTTAGAAAGTGGCTATATATAGACACCAGTCAAGTTTCGTCATGATTGGTCAATGTAAAGCCTGTCAAAAGGCCTGCTGAATGCTTATTGGCCGA